ATATTTGTTATATAGGATATTTGTTAGGATATTTGTTATATAGGATATTTGTTAGGATATTTGTTATATAGTTGTCACATTTATGGCTTTAAATCTGTCACACTTTCAAAACTTTTTTTAATAGATACAGATATAGAAATAAAAAAAATGCATGCAGGATTACAGGTTTCGCTTTGGATGAAGAATGATTGAACTTTCCGAGTTGCATTATCAGTGAGATGACCGTAATAAAAAGGTTCTTTTTTTTCAGTTTTTATAGGGCAATTAAGATTAATTGTTTGTTGTCCCCACAATCATTTATTCCAATTAATTATCCATTGTTCTAATGATGAATATCTATATATTGAAGTGAGAAAGAATTAGCATTTTATTTCTCTTTTACATTCTGATTGGATCATCAAATTTCACTCCACTTTTTTTAAAATTTATATCAGTCTCATTTAGAAATTACAATTTGATGAAAACTTTTCTGACCTATCCAGTATACATAATAATGGTTCTTGAAACTGAAAATATGTGTTAGTAATTTGCAATAGAAATATTCATATCACTACGAAATCATACTTAACAAACAATATTTCATCCATTTTTTTTATACACTTGGAAAAAAGCTTTCCTTTTTTTTTTTTCAAATTGATTGAAACTTGGTGTATTCACTGTTATGTTATTTATTCATTTCGTTTGAAATGCAAAATTTCCATGAAATTTAAAACTCTTTACCGGGAAAAAATAATAATAATAATAGTAGTGGTAATAGTGATAGTAATGGTGATAGTACCAGTAGTAGTAGTAGTAGTAGTAGTAGTAGCAGTAATAGTCGCAGTGATAGTAGAGTGATGTTCTCAACAATAACAACAACAACAACAACATTCTACTACATAAGGATAGCCGTGTGATCGGAACTACACGACATTGGATTTCCGCCCTATCTTGATTAAACTAGTTCTTTCTTCTCTATATATTTCTTTCTTGGTAAAATATTCCGTTCAATCATATCATAAGCCATATCTAACAATGATTTTCTCACATCTTGATATGATATACCCAACAGTTGAAATGCCTGAAATTCATTAAGCGTTAACATAAAAGGAAATTAAGGATCGAATTAATACAATTTTTGGAGCAACTTATAAAGAACTAATATTTATCAGTTATTGATAATGGGACTGATATTACCTTCCATTATCTATTGCCTCTTGAATTACGATATTTTCTTTGCATAACATATTTTACATAACATGAACAATTGAATATGTTTAGAAAAAGTAAAAGAAAACTTGCTTTAGAATTATCAAAATTATCCTCATGTCCATATAATGATAAAGCTTGCAATGCTTCTTTATCTACCAGAGAATAGAGCCATACAGCTATATAGAGAGCTCTAATTCGCGGAATACGATAGCCTGAAATATGCTCATAATCATTATTAGTAATCCTTCAGCCAACCTTTGCACTAGATCTGCCGAAATCTTTGTTTGGAGTGTTTGGGAATTTAAGCGATAAATCGAGTAAAGAATCAAACAGTACGTTTACGTACTTTTTTACATATCTAATAATGCTGATAATAACTGGTAAAAAGAAATAAACTAACAGGTCTTTTAAATTGTCTGATGGAAATCTAATGCTTATAAAAGTTTTCCCATTATTTTAAACAAAAATTTCACCATATTTAGCAAATTCTTCTCGTAAAGTTTTAGCAATCTGTCGAAAAGATAATGTTTTAGCGGTGATAAGAATCCTTTGTCCATTACTTTTTCTGTCTTTCATTGCTAAAATATGTGCTCGAGCAGCATCACGAACATCAACCAAGCCAAGTTTCATTGCTGGATAAGCTGGCATTGAACCATCCATAAATCGACTTATGATCTATGATGAAGCCATCCTGATTAGATACTAGCTAATATATAGTACAATAATGCAAATGATGCAACTTATGCCACTCATTAATTTAGCATATAAGATCAATGAGATAAGGAGGCAAAGTTCCATATTTTGATATGCATACATCACAAGCATTTAGGCTTACCGTAACACTTGATCCTTTAGCACTTTGCAATGATGGTCCAACAATCAGGGAAGGATTTAAAACTGTCAACGAAAATGATACATCTGTAATGAATATTACATTTGCAAGAATTTGAATTAAAATTATTCGCTTACGGAGTAATCTTGCACATTTAATCATTCTTTTTCTTTTTTTTTGTTCTGTACTTTTAATTTTGAATTTTAATTCCAATTTGAAGTATGAGTGTGTAAAAGACCTGGATTTTTTTCCATGAAATTCCAAGCTGTATGTTCAGCTAACGTTTTGCTTCTGTGGTAAGGATGTAAGTATTTCCAATTCAAATTTGTCCAATCATTCTCTGTGAAAAGTTTTGTCCGATTTTTATGTCCCACTGAAATGTTAATTGTCGCAATGAACCACTAAAACTAATCCAAAGTTTACTTTTAAAATAACACGAAGTGTCGGATAGTTTTATATCAGATGTAAAAATTTCAAAACGAAGTTTTAAAAATTGATTATTGCACCAATGTTACCAGCACCATTAACTTCATTTCTCGATGGATTAAACGGCAAAGTGTGATAACCGATATGGATACGTGCGCAATAACACCAAGGTAAATGAGACGCATCAGATGCAATAATTAAGCAGTTCTATTAATCTTAAGAATTATTTAAACTAAAGGTAAACTTAAAATTAATAGCGCCAGATGAACTAGTAAATACGATTTTTCGTACACACTGCAGTTGTGCGGCACCACGAAGGACATTTAAGGTACCACGAATTGCTATTTCCACTATCGTTTCATCTGCTATCATCTCACACGGACTTGCTATATGCAATACGTACGTACAGTCCATGATTGCTCTGAAATGTCTTGTTATTGTTAAGATGGATCAATGAATATTTCATTCTTATCAATTTCTATTGAGTTATTTTTTTTTTTTAAGAGATAGGAGTAGTGAGCAATGCAATAATAAAGTATTTTGTATCGGAGATTGAATCCGATTTTGAATGATTCCGCTCTTTTAATCAATTATTATCGAGATGATAAATGCACTTTCTCCATAGATCCACGTCATCCTCAAGAGCAACACGGAAAAGTTCCAGTTGATCACTGTTTGCCAGTTGTCGTAATGGATTAGCTTTTTCAAAAGAATTCAGGTCTCGAAGTGTTCCTCGTACTTTGTAACCTTGTTGCAGTAGTTGTTGCACGCAGTGGATAGCAAGATAACCGGATGCACCAGTTACTAGGACACCTAAATGAAATGAGTTTATAAAATTAATTAAGGCTAGTAAACATAACCTATAGTTCATATAGTTTATTTTTATGTCAAATTAGATTTAACACTTGTAAATTATCTCATTTATCAACAATTATTCAAAGATTTTGCGAATAAAATATCCATTAGAAAAGATTTTTAAATTATAACAGCCGCAGATATTCAGTGCAACCATGCCTTCGATACTGATACAATAGCATATCGGACATTACCGCATGAAATAACTCATTGCGCCAACTGTTGCAATGGTAATTTGGATCCATCCGTTATCAATGCAGAAAAGTGGAAAATTAGAAAAAAAGAAGGAAAACCCACGACAATTATTATTTTCAGATGTTGAATCAGTGAATTCAGTTTCGGCAGACATTGAAATTTAGCACGGATCTAAAATTCAACCTGAAGAACTTCATTTCTCAAGTAAATCTTTTCAATAAATGAAATAAGTATCAATGGATAGTTCTTTGATTTATAATATATTCGAGCAGTGCAATAAATACTGATATCAAAGATGAGTGTTAAAATTATAGAAATTGAAATTTTGTAAATACTGGAAAATTTATTCTATGTATTATTCACTTATTGCTAATTATCTTCCTCTTACTTATTACTAATTATTTCCCCTCTACACATTGTGTAAGTTCATAACAAAGCTTTCATAAATTAGTAAAAGTTAAATCATTTTAAAAATTTAGAATTACTTATGAAGAGCGCAACAGAAATAGGATTTACTTCGCAATAGTTACTCTTATACTTATGAGATCACTAGTAACCCATGGTCTGGTAACGATACTGGATAATTTTTCCATAATCCAAATCCATGTAGAAAAATCATAGCTCTGCTAAGAGTATCGGAAATTTATTTTATTTTTAAGTATTACTTAAATATGAATAAAGGAATACTGATGAAAGCAGAAACTGGAAATTAGATTGTGATAACTTCAAACAAATTATCAAGTAATTTTTTCAACAAACAAATTCGATCACTTAAAATAAACTATCAACAGAGACCGATGGAAAGTAATACAAAATAGCATAATAGCTGAAGGTGGTGCAATAGAAAGAATATACCATTTTAAACCGGTTGTTTCATTTTAATAATAACCGGTTTTTTTTTCGTTTTAAGGAAAGAATATTGATTTCCAAATTGGAAACATTGGCGCCAGCAATATTTGATTGATTCTCATAGATGATGGTAATGATGATTGCTCCGGGAAGACGTAAACTTGATAGAGGAAGCACAAACTTCTTGGAGCTGATCTGTGATACATTAGGAATATGTGACAATTGCTGTCTGTCGGATTGCCGAAATTAAATCTATGTTCAAATAAAATTGCCACAATATCCAACAGACAGTGTGACGAAATCTTGCAAGTAAAATTAAAGCGATGAAGAGGATATAAGCTAAAACAAAGACTACATAACACAAAGATATCATTGTACCTACACAATGTACAATGCCAAAGGCTAGCCATACCTCCATGATAACCCTAATGGAGCTTACAAACTCCTCTCCAATCTATCTATCTATATATATATATATATGTATGGAAAGATCCAAAAGTATTTTTACAATTTAGCAGACGATATGCTTATTCTCTATGACTGAACTACAACGAATCTTCCCAGATCGTCACCATTCAACAAACTACGATATTACTATTTGCTAAATACATTTATCATAACATATCCCCAACTTAACGACCTATCAACGAATCGACAGTAAAATT